GGCACTTTTAGGAAAAATCCCTCAAAAAAAAAAAAAAAAAAAAAGAAAAGAAAAGATTATTTACCATGAACTAAAATGGCACACAACAAAGGTTAAAAATGCTAGGAAAAAAAAAGGAGAGGATGGGATTGCGTGTGTGTTTTCTTTTTCTATTTTTGTCCGTTTATTTGGAATAATACATTGTACTTTTTAAGTAATTATTTTATTTTTATTATCTTCTTTAATTTGGCCAGAGCGAGAGAGGGAGAGTGAGAAAGCAAGCCACTAGGTCTGGGACTCAAATTGTGGTTAGCCAGCATCTTAACCAACACCCAACCAACTAGCCCCAATTTTTCAGTTTTGATGTGTAAGTTTTAAAATTTTTTCTATTTTTTAAGGAATTATTTATTTAATTTCATTTGTTATTATTTTTACATTTGACCATAGAGAAACAGAATGAGAAAGAAAGGGAAAGTGAGAAAGCAAGCTGCCAGATCTGGGACTCGAACTGCAGTCGACTATGTGGGAGTCCAGCACCGTAACCACCATGACACCTGTTGGCCCCATTGACTTGTAAATTTAATATATGAAGCTAATGAATCTTTACTCTCCTCTAACAATGCAGAGGTCTTAGTACCTTTTTTTTTTCATTTTTTATTTAATTTATTTCTGCTTGAATTTTTTTTTACTCCTGGTATTTTTTGCATTTTTAAATTTATTATCATCATAATCTTGTTTATATTACATTGAATCACATATAAAGCACCTTTTTAACTATATATCCCCCTCCAATTTACAAGTTGCTATTCATTATATTATAACTGAACTTAAATCAGGTTCGCTCGCGCAAGCACTGTAAAACCAAACTATAGTCACATGGTGTGATGAAGGCAGGTCCAGCTCTATTGCAAAGTGTAAAGCAAGCAGAGCAGGCAGTTCGTGCTGAAAAGACTCGGCCTCCTCCAGGTGGGCTCCACATGGGTATTTAAGGGCAAAATCAGGGCCAGAGGTCCTAGGCACAGGAGCAGTTCAGTGATTGGTTCAAGAGGGCGTGATCATCTCGTGGGCATTCTTGATTGGTGAGGCCTTAGATAATCAAATTTCTCTGCAGGTTTTGGGGCTATTCAACCTGGGGTCTTTGAGCTCTCAGCCAGCAGATTCCAGCCTACAAAACATCTTATATATTGAAATGACCCTATCTGTCCTTTAAGTGAGAATTTAGAGGTCGAGTGGCCCTCATCATCATAACCAAGGCCTGAAGACTTCCTCCTTACTCTGGGCCATTACCATGTAAATAGACCTTGTACTCAAGAACCTCAGAAAATACCCCAGGGGTCCTTGCTCGGGTTCGGTTTTCTATCCTGTTTCTTCCTGTAAATTAGAAGGGATGTTTTTTGGACCATCTACTCCTGCGACATTTCGGCTCCCTGCACATCTTCCATCTTCCTTCTGGATTATGTTTCTTATGCCTGTGTGAAATCCCTTAGGATTTCTTGAGTAAGAATGTGATGTGGTAAACTCGTGTTTTCTTTCTGAAATAGTTTTGTTTCTCGCTTGTTCTTTTATGATAATTGTTCTGTATGTATAATTCTAGGTTTACGGGTTTATTTAATACTCAGAATACTGAGCATATTATTCTGTTATGTTCTGGTTCTTCTTGCTATTGAGAAATCTGCTGTCAATCTAATTGCTGGTTAAGATCTATTTGTCTTTGGTGTTCTGAAGTTTCACAATGATGTGACAAGATGTAGAGTTTTTAAAATTTCTCCTGCTTAGGAATTTTCAGGCTCTCTGGATTTGTGTATTAGCTCTCAACAATGTTAAAAAAAGAAAAAGTACTCGTTTTCTTGTCAAAGATTAGCTAGTTACAAAATTTGACCTATTTTTAAGTAGTTCATGTTCCATATGATTCTTATATTTTCCTTTAGATCATGAATTTGTCAAAGGTTGGTAAGTTTTTCTGAAACCTTGTGAAATCTTCACTTAATAGAAAAAAATTATTATCTAAGATATAAATTGTAACCATTTCAGTGTGTTAAGGTCAGTAGCATAATCCACATCAATTCAAAAATAAATCTATACTGCTTATCTTTCAGGAGAGAGAGCAGGAAAAATGCAGATACATTTATTTTTGAAAGAACTATTTATTTCATTTTATTTTTATTTAATAGTAGTATCATCTTTTTTTTTTGAGAGAGAGAGAAAGAGAAAGGGAAAGTGAGAAAGCAAGCCACCAGGTCCGGATCTCGAACCATGGCTGGCTGTGTGGAAGTACAGTGCCTTAACCACCATGCTACCTGCTGCCCCAAAATGTTGCTATACTTTATTTTTGTATCTGCCCAGAATCTCTATAGTAGTATCACCCATTTTAAAATATTGTCTATTTGTTGTCCTCAGCAGTATTTGTGAAATCAGACCTGTCTGTTGTTTTTTAGCAATGCACATTGACATAAACATAGAACTATTAAAATTTAAGCCGATGTCTGTGTGTGCATCCCTTCAGATAGGCTCCCAGGGCAGCAGGTTAGGTACTTCTGGGAAACACTGGGTTAGCAGAACTCTGTAGAGTCTTCAGATATGCAGTTAGGCCCTGCAGACTTCAGGGTTGAGTGTGGGTTGTTCTACATAATAAAGGAAAGTAATTACATTTCAGAGGAGGAGCCAAGCAAGGCAGGGAGAGTGGAAATCTTAGAATTCCAAGGAAAAGGCCTTGCCAAGTAACACACTTTGAGCCTGCAGTTGAAAGCTGCTAACAGGGCTGGCAGGTGGCATGGTGGTTGGGGCTGGTGGACTCTCACAGGGTCGACCATGGTTTGAGTCCTGGACATGGCGACTTGCTTTCTTCTCACCCCCGCCCCCCCCCCTTCTCTCTGGTCAAGTTAAAGTAAAATATATGGGACCAGCAGTTAGCATAATGGCTGTGTCTCTGGTTCGTGTCCCGGACCTGGTGGCTTAAAACTCACACTGGGCACGCACACGCGCCTGTGCCCAAGATCCCGAGAGGAGAATGGAGGAGAAGGGATTGCGGTGTGGCCATCCCCCCTGGGGGGTGACTTCTCGCTTTCTATCTCTCTGTCTCTCTCTGTCTGTCTGGCGAGCGCACGTGCCCTATAGCAAAAAAACCTCTACAAAAAAAAAAAGTAAAATTTAAAAATGAATAAAGTTAAGTAATACTTAAAAAAAAAATAAAGGTGCTATCCAACCACATTAGAATCATCTGAGGAGCTTTTAAAATTGATTAAGTGGAACCAGCAGTTGGCATAATGGCTACGTTGCTGGACTCCCTTGTAGTCTACTGCCTTTCGAGTCCTGGTCCTGGTGGCTTAAACTCACACCAGGCGTGTGTGTGTGTGTGCGTGCCCAAGATCCCGAGAAGGATCCATCTATCTGGGGAGAGTGATTTCTCACTTTCTGTCTCTCTGTCTTTCTGGTGAGCGCATGTGCCCTATAGCAAAAACCTCTCCAAAAAAAGTTAAAAAAAAAAAAAAAAAGGATTAAGTAAGGCCTCGCCCCAGACCAATCAGATCAGCGGAGGGTGTGACCCAGACATCAGTATTATTTTCAGTGTGTCTCAGGTCGTCCCAATACACAGTCAAGTTCGACGACTGTGCTATCCCGCCTTGCTACTGCAAGCGTCATCTCCAGACGGGCAGCTTCACGGTCCGGAGAACGTAGTTTCAGGACCTGCCGTGGACCTACCAAATCAGAACCTTCATTTTAACAGGGTCTCCGGATGACTCACATGCATCTGTCATCAACAGCTTGCCTCCCTGGGTTTGAGAAGCTTACACCCACTTTCTCAGCCGTCCTCACAGCTAGAGCCCAGGCCTGTGACCTCACAGCGCCGTGCGCTGCACACGCCCTAAGTTGTGGAAAGCTGACTGGTGATGCCATATGCCGTATTCAGAGACTGCCCGGAGTACATTCTGGAGAAGGGGGCCCCCCACCCCGGCAGCAGCCAGCATGTGATCAGCTAGAGTGGCAGCGCCCACTGCTGGCCACCGCGCAAGCTGTGATGTCAGTCAGTGCCCAGCGGTGGCAGCTGGAGCTTCACTGGACCAGTTCTGCAGCATAATTTTCTGTGTTGTTTCTGGAGACAGAAACTTCCAGCCTGGCGCTGCAGTCCTTTTTAAGACTGAGCTAGCCGCCCAATAAACTTTAATAAGTTCCTTTCCTGCTCAAGTCAGCCAGAACTTCTGTGTCTGTTGCCTGCACCAAAGAACCTTGACTGAAATAGGTGACAAGTAAGGTCAGCCAAAATACTTTGAAGAAGAGGGTTAACAGCGCGAAGATTTATGGCTCTTTGCTCTGTGATTATGTAACATAATGCCCTCTATTGTCTGCAGCGTTTAGTAAGGTCCCACTACGCACACAGAAGCGGGTGCCAGGGTTGTCTTGTGAGCGGTGTCGAGGAAAGGGCCGCTTCCTCGCCTCTGCTGCAACTGCTGTAGACAAGGACTGCACGCCGGGCCGAAAGAGGGCCACAGATGAACTAATTCGGCAGAAACACGCTTGGAGCTAGAAGTACACTGGACAAGCATAAACCATACCCCAGAATTCCCGGAGAGATCGGGAGAAATATTTGCTGCTCCCAGTGCGTATGAGCTAGGGTTTAAACCAATCCCATTCAAATCTCAAGGTATCACGCCTCATCCTCTACTGAACCCATCTCATGGTCCAGGGGCGCCGCACACCTTCCGTTCACACAGTGCATCCTCGTAGAGATGTCTGTCCCAACAGAGGTTGCTTAAGCCCTGCTTGTCCACCTTTAAACCTAGTGCTGGGCTCATAGTTTAGCTATAAACAGTCTCCTGAGCGGTCTGCCTGAGTTTTGGAATTGGTCTGAACCAAGCTGACCTAATCTTCATAATGGCTTCATGAGACTTGCCTAAGAATGTAACTCAGATTGACTTGTTAAAAGTAATAATAACGATAACTAGGTACTGATACTGATGCGTTGCTTCCTATGTGACAAGCATTGTTCTAACCATTTCGCTTCTATTAGTTCATCTAATTCTTATAACAGTAATAGGTACTATTATCCCTATTTTCCGGAAAAAGAAGCAGAGGGAAACAGGTGAAATAACTTCCCTGAGATGGCACAGTTGGGTATCAGAGCTGCGATTGAAATGCAGTCTGCTTTAGCATCCGAGCTCTCCACAACGATGATACACTAGCAAACTGCTTGGAGGAAGAAAGGTTAATATACAAAGTTAGTATTAAATCCCCGATTTCCATGACAGCGGCCAGAGGAAGAGGGAGGCTGTGGCGTCTGTCCTCAGTAAATAAAGTGTTTAGGGCTGCTTGTATGTAGTGGTTAAGGGAGCCAGACCCCACGTGGCCAACCACGGTTTGAATCTTGGCTGCAGCAGCTTGCAAGACATGCCAAGCATGTGTGTTTGTGCCCAGAATTCCAGCAGGATGCAGAAGTAGAGGAGAAGGGATTGTGGCCTGACCGTGCCCCACGGGGGAGTGCTTTCCTTCTTTCTCAGTCTCTGGCGAGCACACACACCCTTTGGGGATTAAAGAGTAAAGAAATAAAAATTTGAAAGTCTTTTAGTCTTTTTTTTCTTTTTCTTTTTTTTTTGAGAGGTTTTCACTATAGGGCGCATGTGCTCGCCAGACAGACAGAGACAGAGTCAGAAAGCAAGAAATCACCCTCCAGGGGGGATAGTCACGTTGCAATCCCTTCTCCTCCATTCTCCTCTTGGGATCTTGGGCACGCACGCTCACGCACCCGGCGTGAGTTCTAAGCCACCGGGTCCGGGATGCGAACTGCGGTCGACTACGTGGGAGTCCAGCGACATAGCCATTACGCTAACTGCTGGTTCCCTATTTCTAGAATATCTACAGTAACAGGCAGAGTCAGAATCAGGACTTCAAATATTCCATGAAAATGTAGCAAAGCCCCTAACCTAAACCCAAACCAACTGCTCTAGTCTGAATCCTGTGTCCCTACCCCACCCCTGCGTTTACATGTTGGGTCCTCGCCCAAGGTGCTGGCGTTGGGAAGGCGGTCTCGGGGAGATGACGAGGCTGTTAGCAGAGCTTTCGAGAGTGCTGTTAGTACCTCGGAGAGAGCCTGAGGCCCGCGGTGGCCCGGTGCTGAAACACAGTGTTCTGCAAGACTGACCCACAGGGCAGGCTGCAGTTTGCATTTGGAGATCTGCGAGTGTGCTGAGCACACAAGCCTGTGAGCTGAGGTTGCCTGAGAGGCTGGATTGCGGCATCGAGGCCCTGCTGGAGGCATTGCCTCTGTGTCCCTCTGCTTCTGCGTCTCCCTCACTCATAAAAGAAATACATTAATTTTCTTTTTAATAGAGGCCTGAGGGAGCTGGAGCACCCCTTCCACACTATGAGAACGCAGAGAAGTTGGCAACCTGCAGCCAGTAAAAGGGCCTCACTGGAACCAGACCCTGTGGGCACCAAGTGTCAGGACTTCCCAGCCTCCAGAACCGTAAGGAACAAGCTTCTGTTGTTCATCAAGCACTTAAGGTGTTTTTCCCCCAGAGATTTTTACCTTGGGGCATGGGGCTCTGATACATAAATGCTATCAGAATGTATGCAACCTGGTTTTTCCTTTAACAATATAATCCCGAAGTTTCTAAGGTCAGTAACAGATCTACCCAATCTCTTTGAACTGTGGCATAATTTTATATAATATGGATATGTCATAGTTATTAGGCATTTCCTGGTCAATGGATATTTAGATTGTTCCTGCTTTTTTCTTATTACAAATAATATGGGACCAGCAGGGGGCATGGTGGTTAAGGGCACTGGACTCCCACATGGCCAACTGTGGTTTCCCAGACACAGTGGCTTGAAGATGATGCTGGACATGTGTGTGTGTGTGTGTGTGTGTGTGTGTGTGTGCGTGTGCGCGCACGCCCAAAATCCCAGGACGAGAATGGGCATGAGGGGATTGTGGCATGGCCATCCCCCTGGGTGGTGATTTCTCACCTTCTCTCTCCCTGTCTCTCTGGTGAGCACATACCCCCTATGGAAAAAACCTACAGATCACTTCATTAACTTCAATAAACTTTAAGAAGAAAAGACAAATAATGCATATTGAACCTCATTGCAGCCGCAGTCTCGCTGGTAAACAGCGGTAAGAGTAACTGCTGGGTCATGGCTTGTGCACATTTGAAGTGTAGTGGTCATGAAGCTCTCCTTAGTGTGCTGTGTCAACATAAACGATTTGTCCGCCAGTTGTGGGAGTCCTCGTTTGGCTATCACTCGCCAGTATTGACGGTATTGTGTAATTTGCCAACCTAGTGAGCAGGAAGCACATCTCATGCTCACTGGACTCTGCATCTCTCTGCTTTCTCACGGCGTTGAGCCTTTTTTTGATCGTAGGCTGTTCAGGTTCCTTTCCCGGGAGTGGGACTTCATAGCTTTTGGTCACCGGTCTTTCGGGTTGCTTGTCTTTTTCATTTTGTTTTGTGGCAGTCTGATGTCCTTCTTCACGTTCCTCCTCAGCCCCTCAGGCAAAATAGTGCCATGGTAGTGGCGCTTCTTTGAAGTTCTAGTCCAGTAATGAACTGGAGTTACATTCGGCTCCAAGAATTTTCCCCCTAAAGTGAAGAAATTTAAGCCAGAGACGAGAGAAAAGAACATCTCTCCTAATAAAACAGAGGAGAGCTGTTCGTGAAGTCAGTCAGTCCCTCACTTTCAAATAACATTTCTTAGGGACGCAGGGAACGGCCAGAGGTAGAGAACTCTTTGGCGTGATTCCTAAAGAGCTTTCCTGTACAGTGTGTTGCACTTTTGGCAATGCGACGAGCTCGGAGAAGTTTGCTGGTGGCAACAGTGCGCTAACGTCCAGGTAGTTTTAAAGTTGTTTTGCCCCTGAACTCCTCAGTTTAGAGTGCGGATATCTGCAGAGGAAAGATGTGAGGCACCAAGAGAGTAATACACGCCCGCAGGGTCAGTTTAGAGAGCAGTAAGAAAGGCTTGCCAGTAACACGATCAACAAAGAGACCCGTTAATCTCTGGTAGCCCCAAAGAGGAGAAGGTAAGATTTTTCTCCCCCCAAAGGATTTTTCCTTTCCTACCAGGAGTTTACCAAAGAAACAAAACAATAACGATGAAAACTTACACCGTGGTCTGAGTCGCAGACCTAGCAGCTTGCTTTTTCTCTTTCCTTTCCTCTCTCTCCATCTCTCTCTAGTCAAATTTAAAATAAATAAATAAATAAATAAATAACAGAATTAAATAAGTAAACCTCTGATCTCTCCCTTCAACAACAACAAAAAGGGATTATGGCATGGCCATCCCTCATGGGGGTGCTTTCTCACCTTCCGTCTCCATCTCTCTGTCTCTCAGGTGAGCACACACTCCCTCTAGCAAATTGAAAATGGCTAAGTAAGTAATACTGACTCAAAAACAACCAACAGGAAGCTAAACTGAAGGAGTACACAGTCTGGATAGGAGCGGTCCCAGCTCTGGCATCAGGGCTTAATGACATCAGGGCTCTGACGTGGCCCTCCGAGCTGTGGGTCAGTACCCGAAAGCGTGACTTAGGCCACGAAGACGTCAGCCGTACAGCTGGAAGGGACTCTTCCCCTAGAACTTTTCTGCATGGAAGGAAGATCTTTCCCTGGGTCGCCTGTCATGTCTCAGGGGCCGGAACTGTGTGCTGTGTGCCCATGTAGCTCAGAGGGCGTCCGGGTGAATGCAAACCTAGCGAAGGGCAATTCCCTTCCGTCATTGACCTGAAGCAGGTGTGATTCATCTCCTGAGGTTGAGCATACCCCTGCCTGAAAGCAGAAGTGCAGGGGAGAGGAAGAGATGCCAGGATGTGGAGACCAACCACATCTACTGTCGGGGCAACTCAAGGACCTCTTCTGGCCACTGCTGCTGAGGCAGGAACGAACAGTGACTAAGCTGAATCTATCAGGATCTCCCCTTACGTTTGTTTGTTTGTTTGTAATTTGACACAGGGTCCTACTACGTTGTAACCCTCCATCTTCAGCCTCCCGAGTGGCTAATAGGCATGTGTTGTACCACCAGGATTTTAGGAAGGGCTGGGAATTGAACCTAGCTCCCATGTAGCCTCAGCCTGCTGAGTTGCAGCCTCAACCAGCAAGCGCTGCCATGGCCGGGGATGCCATTAGGGTTTTAATGAAGATCCCAAGAATCAGTTTCTGACTCTAGTGCCTTGATGGTAGAGCTGAACTTTAGAACCATACATTCAATAATAGAGTCCCACATCTCTTTATTAAAGTTTCCATTTAGTTGGTAACTATTTCTTGAAATTAGGTTAACCCTGATTAAAACACAGATTCAGCTATAGTCTTTATTAATAATTACTAAAATAACAGCTATTATAGTATTTACTGCCTTATTTGTTTCTTAATAGTTTCACACTTTTGTCTCACCGTACTCATAGCTTATAAACTCCTTACGGAAGAAGTCAAGCATATATGTTTATTCTCCTAGTTCTTAAAATGGTATTAACCATAGGTATGATAAGATCTATTGGTGATTATTGAGTGACTTTCTGATTGCTACCCTTTTTAGTTAATACTTTGCATGTTCTAGAAGTATATACAAGAGAAACATGGTAATGAATTATCTATCAGATTAGCAAATGCAGTTTCAGATTGTTGGCTTGATAAACATAAAATCTTCTAAAATAGAGCAAATTCACAGAAGAGTGAAGAGAGGTACTCCAATGGAGAACAGTGGCTGTGCGGTTTCTGAGAGGCGGGG